ATCTAAATTTCTATCGTACAATTTATGTCACTCTGATGTAGTAAATTTACTAATTAGTCTCTGGATCTTTGTGCAAAATAAAAATCTTCTGGATCAATAGCCAGAAGCATGGTCTAAATAAAAATTGATTTACACTCTTTATGATTTTAACAAGCTGACAATCATTGTAATATTCTTAAATGTTCTTCCTATTTTTTTTTCTACAAAGATTTGTTATCTACATAGATTTACTCGCGGCCATTTTATCATTCAATTTGTGATTTTCTGATCCAACAACTATAGCAATATAAAGTTTTAATTTATAATGACTTCTATCTCAAAATCTTAATTTATCGATGTCCATTAAAATAATTCTAATTTATCGATCTGCATCATAAAATTCTAATTTATTGATTTCCATTTGAAAATTATAATTTACTAATCTTCATTCATAAGTTCCAGTTCATTGATCTCCATTTAAAAATTCGAATTCACTAGTTTACGTTTCTTTCATTCAATATGTACATTTAATAACATAACTCCTATTTCATTAGTTCTCGTTTCGAGAAGTTTATTCTCGGAAGAATACAAATTTGAATTTTGCGTCGAGTTTGAAATTATGAAAGACACTATATCGAACACGCTGCGGTGCACCTACCATCATAGAATCCCACGCTGAGCGCCATGTTGACGCGATTCCTGTTCGCTCTCCATTCCAGCACGCAAGGCGGATAATTCCTCGGTACGTGATGCACAATTTGTTGATTGTTGCTCATTATCCTAAATATCGTTCTCTCGCCTTGCAGAAGCTTCCTCTGGCAGTAAGCTTTGTAACCGTCGTACGCATGATCGGAGACATACTTGAGAAAGTACTTGAACAAGGTGGGACTCGGCTGGAACGCCGACAGACAATTCGATAGTAACAGCCAACCTCTCTCTTTGTTCGCGTCGTTCTCATTTTTCCACGTTTGATTGGCCAGCTGGCACAAGATTTCATCGCGTAGCTTCTCATTGACGATTCCTTTGTTCACGATATAATCGCCGAGCGCTTGCTCCCGCTTGCCGCTCAGATTATTCTCGTTCATGAACCGCAGGATCATCTTGAAGATCATTAACGAGTCCGTGTAGTCCTGGTCCCGGGCTTTCGTCAGGAACGGCGTCTTTATCGGTTCCCGTTTCATCCCGAATATGTGGCTTTTGAAGTAAATGTTCGTGAATTTGGAGAACTGGTGTTGATCGATGTCCGGTGGCAGGCTGTAATTGTAGTGCACCGGGATCACTTGGCCGACTACTTTCAGCAGATTCCTCTCCGTGTGAGTGGGCTGCCAATCTGGAGACATAATTCGCGAGTTCAGTGAAACAGAATTTTCACAAAGTTAATTGCTTTTAAAAATGTAAATTTAAAGTTTCGATTAAGTGATCATGTAAACAGAGAATCTCCATTTTTGTTTACATTCTTTAAAAATAGAAACATCTAAACAATGAAGATAATATTAGGTGTACAAATGAATTCGTGTATTTAGATTATCATTAATTCTTAACTTAAGAACACTATTAAAAGTAAGTGAGAATTAATGTAAAAATAAAAAATGATGTTACCTTTCAAAATACCAGTTACTTTTAATTCATCTCACACTTTTTTGTTCACACACAGACGAGAGGAAGAGCTACGATTATTAATTTTGTGCTGTACAACATAAGAACTGCCAAAAGAAATTAAAACCTAATTGAAAAATATGTCTTCTTTTGAACGTACTAATTAGTTTTGATTCATGTCACATTTATTTGTTCGCACGTAAATAAGGGGAAGAGCTACGAATTAATTTATATGCCTAATAGAATTGAGAGGCAAACATAATTTTCTGAATGGCGTACGAGGATTACATGAATATTAAATACTAAATAATGTATATTAATGTTAATTTATTACTATGTAATTAATAGTATAGACAGACACCCACAATGTAACAGTTTAAAGGATTCCAGAAAAGAAAAATTGAATTTCTACCTTTCGAAGACCGTAATTAAGTTAGCGCCTCTAAGATTAATAGTTATACGATTAAAAGAAAAAATCTTAATAACATACCGTCGAGTTTGCTATAAATGAAGGCGAGCTCGGCAGGTATTTCCAAGTGATTGACACCAGCCACAGCTCTCGACGTTCTCTCCTGCTCCTCCCTTTGCTGTTTCGCTTTCGCACGTTCCTTGCTTGCTCTCTCAATTTCCGCCCTCTTCGTCATCTCTTCCTTGAGAACTTTGAACTTCTCGCGTTGTTTCTTCCCTCGGTACATCTTCTGTGCCATGAGCGCCCCTCTCTTCGTTGCCCTGAACTTCTTTCTCTCACGATAACCACGGTAAACAGCTTGAATCAGCACTGTGCTCCTTGAGATGTTGAGGAACCGCCTTCTCGCGAGAAATCCTCTCGTGTATCTGCAATCATTCAGTCAAAAGAACTTCGAGGACATCTTTCACGCAGCATTCGCAACAGGATGCACAAATCGCTAATTCTACTTTGCTCAAATCGCCAACGACTTCTCAGTACTGTGACAATACTTTTCTGCGATCACCTATCATGATTGACTACTGCATCGGAACGAAAGTTACATCAATCGTGAGGCAGAGACCTCTCCCGAACGCCTCTGCTTTTCCTAATTGCTCTAATCTCTTCCCACTAAACTTAAGCATCGTATATGGTAGCAGACAATTCAAAATCATCCTATAAATTTACAGAAATGAAACTCAACATTTTAAAAGATATAATTTGTAGGACATTCGAAGTCAGCGATTTTCCTATTGAACAGCAGACACTGACAAAAATGGATTGACCTGTTTCTATTTTTGGCATAATTGTATTCATTCAAATTCTGTATGATTTTTGTTATAACACATCCAGTTAGCTGTTTTTGTCGAATATACTCGTCATAATACAAAATGTTTCTGTCTCTTCATGACGAGTATACTCGTCAAAAGCTGCTAATTGATCACGAATGAAGTATACTTTGAAGCATACTATACTATAAGTATACTTTGATATCCGCCATTAAATTATGTATTTTATAAAAGTGCTGTATTTAGACAAAACATGAAGTAAATCACACATATGCAGCATAATTTGCTGTGTGTAACCTACACACTTCTCAAAGAGATTGCGCCAGCTAATTGGTTAAGTAAAGAAGTCTATTAAAAGGTAACTAATAGAAAGTCTTAAAATACCAGTAGCTGTAAATGGGGAGAACCAGAAAAACCATCAGTCATTTGATCTGGTTGTTCTAATGCTTTTACTGTATTATAAAAACTGTATGTTTCTTATCATAAGAAACCTGTACATTTTAGCAGAAGTTTTTACCAATTTCGTGAATCTGTACCTTTGAACAGTAATGGCAGCTCTCTCCAAAATGAGGGCTCGATTGTACTCCAAAGTTCTCTCCAACGACTCCCTCAGAAACACTCTAGTCAGACCCAGCTGATACTGAGACTGCGCCTCTTTCGATGCAGCTTTGTCCAAAATAATGCGACAGAGTTCCTTGTTCGGCGCTCCTCTAGGCAAATGAGTGGACACCAGGTATCTGTACCTGTCGACGAAGTGTCCAAACAGCAGCCTAACCGGGTAGCCAGTTTTTCGAATACGAATCGTCTCGAGCATCCCAGTGTAACGTAATTGCTCGAGAACGCAGGGCATGTCGAACTTCATCGGCGCCTTTTCTGTGTTCGGCTTGATGCACCGTACGAACCAAGGGTTGCACCTGCAACGCGCAATAAATATCATACATCACAGGAACACATTATTATAATATTACGTGCAGAAACTAATTGAAATTATATTAACGTTTCGTTAAGTTCTGATCGAAGTAAAATAAAAGCAGGCGACTAGATACAATATAGCTTTTTGTAGTGTTAACTTAGGGAAAGTTACATTTATCTCCGAAAGTGTAATGTTTAACAAATTGTAGTGGTCTGCTGACGAGACTGCAATTAACCAAATGGCGCGATAACGAGCGGTTGCGTCGTTCTTCGAACAGACGGAAACAAACTCAGTCGTTTTGCTAATTGATTACACCGAACAGCACGTAATCGCGAAAAAACAAACAACGATCGTAGCTATTTTACTATAAAATACATTTACATCTACATCGGCTTGCACTTCGCTTCCGGATAAAGCTATAAATTCGTAGTCGATAGCGAAATGCAAGCTGTGAAAGTTCTAGAAACATCAAGATACATATGATTAAATTTCACAGTGTCTGCGCAGAGATTCGATTCGTGAGACAAGGAGATAGTTCCAATGTTTCTTTTTTCAGAATTTAGAAAGTTCGAGCTGCGCTTCCTGAAATGTTTCACGCTCGCTACGCCGGATTCGTAACCGATATTTTGAAAGAACGATTTTGCTCGGAGGGCAGAGCACTTACTGCGACATCGAGTCCAGAAGCTGTTGCAGACTGTCGTGAAACCGGGCCGACACAGTCGGCGTTCTAGGTTTCATGGTGACAAATCTGCCATTTGGTTTATTCATCGTTTTGTTAGCCTCGTGCGTTGTCCTTACGTGCTGGAACATTTTGCTGACCATCTGGAAGACAATCAACGATCAGCTGGAACGACCAACAGCGTTAATGGAGGAGACTCCTGAATTGGAAGAAAATGCTCACAGATATTTTACTGCTTATTAATAATTCTACCACATCCGGCCTCAGAGTGTCTCTATTTTTATCCAGGAAACCTTCGACGTTGTACCAAACTTGGCCGGCATAATGCTTGATCGCGAACTCCGCTGAATTCATTCGCGGCCTCGAGTACAACTCGCTGAGGGCATGATTGTAATGACACTTCTCGAGGAAAGAGAGGTCCGACGCTTTGGGAAAATTGCTCTCGTCGTCCAACAGATGCAGAATGCCGACCGGCTTCTTCGCGATTAGGTGAATAACTGGTAGGTTGTCCTGTGGAGACGCAAAGTGGTTCGGTTTTAATTAAAAACGAAGCATCTTTTCATAAACGTTTTGGAAATAATTAGTCTTCGCAGAACTTTTATCACGAGTTTTAAAATATCGTAATATTTCAAGAGAATGTCTTTAAATAAATACAGTTTTAGAATCTGTTTTAAAAAGCATTCTCATGAAAGATTTCGATATTTCAGAATTCGTAATAAAAGTTCTATGGAAACTGACTGTTTTTTAAAACGTTTATTGAAATAGGTTTCGTAAAAGACAAACTTTTTACTGTGAATTATTAAGAATACGCACTCTCATTTCAAGTGACAATAGTCCCCTTCACAATTCTACTGATAATTCTAGATCAATGCTTTGCATTTCATCTGCTCAATTTTTCTCGTCATTAAACCTGCAGTTCAATCGTCACAGTTAAATTCACGCATACGGCAGGGTACATAATGTTTGGTGCATTTACGACAATATCGAGTAGATGAAATGTGAAACAGCGAAAACATGCGAAAAATGTTATAACTGCAGTATGGCATTGAACTTAATAGAATTATGAATAGGATCATAAAGAGAACTATTCTTACACGAGTATTCTTATCTTAAATAAAAAACGGTGATATTCCAGAATTCTGTCGGGTTCTGTTAACACCAACGGTTTGAACAGTTCATTACTTCTCATTAATGTCACGAATCATCCAGAAGAAATGAAAGACCGATACAAATGATCAAAAAAGATCAGACCGAGCCGCGTTCCACGCATAGCTGGCAACGAAAGGAAACCACGGTTAACTGTAATTCAACTTTTTATTCCTCGAATCAGCCTCCATTGATTCAAACTTCGTTGATTATTTACTGGAATTCCCCGTTTTTTACTCACCGTGTAATTGATGGTAGTCCAGTCGATTTTCTCCTTCGCGTACTCCTGCTGCTCCAGCTTGAATATGTGCTTGTTGAAGTAGAACTGAAGATTCTCGTTCGCGTAATTGATGCACAGCTGCTCGAGGCTGTTCTCCGCGAAGTTCTCGAACCCGAATATATCTAGGATCGAGATGGCGGCGGTCTGTTTGGTGCCCTTGTAGACGATGTGATTGACGCGCGCGACCAGCCAGGAGAACAATGAGCTGTACAAAGCCTTGGCGAAGGCGTCCCTGGCGTCCAGGGCCTGATCGATATTCAGCGCCGTGAAGACCCTCTCGTTTCTCGCCTCCTGCGAATCAACCCGATTAATCGTCGATCAGTTACGACTTTATGGATCAACGTCCTTATATTCCGATGTAGTACCGTGGTTTTGGTGGTCAACGCTCTGATGATCCCGTCGGAGTTCACCTGAAGGAGATGAGCCGCCCAGCGTATCTCGGCGTCCGAGCCAACTTCCACTCCTTCCTGGCCGTGTCTCATCTGTTTCCGATGGAAATACACGTTGCCCAGGTGTAACACGCTAGCGAGGATCTTGAAGATCGTGTCCTGCTCCTCGGACGTGAATCCTAACACTTGCATGGCGGACAAAAGGGCCTTGAAGTCCTGGACATCGCTCTTTCCGTCGATCTCGCAATTTCCACCCTGGAAATCGATGTTTCAGTTTCCTCTGACAGTGAGAGAGAGAGCGAGAGAGAGAGAGAGAGACAGCGTGTCAAAGGTTTATGGGATTTTGTGTAACCTGATTCAGGTAGAAGTATTTGTCCGGCGTCAGCAAGCCGTACTTGTCCCTGAGTTGCTGGTCCAAGCCAGCCAGAAGCTCGTAGAACACGTGGTAGTTCCTTTCTTCCGAAGCTTGCGTGACTATCCTGCTTTTTTCGAGCAGGTACTGGGTTATCCTCCCGCCTACGATCACTCCGCTAGGGTTGATGAAGATTGATTAGTCTCGCCGATGCTCTCGGCGACAGTGGAAACAATGGCGATGGGAGTTTATCAGATTCATTAGAACGGGCTTCTCGGCGCTAATCGATTTAAAATAGATGCTTTGGGGTTAACACTTTCTCTGTTAGCGCTGGATGGTTCTTCTTCAAGACTACCAATTCCGAAATTTTACGAAAATTTTTATCGTCTAGATTATTTAAGAAACATTATTTATTGTTGCGTGTGGCTTCGACGTTGGTACTCAAGTGTTTTCAGTTTTAACAGTATGATCGAATTAGACATACAAGAAATATATTGAAAAGTAACAGAAATTACTTACGAATTGAATATTGTAAATTTTGTTTCAAGGTTCCACAGTTTTAATACGTTTCTAACGTTAAAATTCATACAAATTTTATAATCACAATGCAACAATTTTAGAATTAACCTTACAATGGTACCATGCTTCTCCAAATAATAAATTGTCACAAAGCAATCCATTAAAAAGTGTCATATGATTATTAAAATCATTATGAGTACTCATTTTACCATGCTTCCCCAAATAATAAATTGTCACAAAGCAATCCATTAAAAAGTGTCATATGATTATTAAAATCATTATAAGTACTCATTTTACTATGCTTCTCCAAATAATAAATTGTTACAAAGCAATCCATTAAAAAGTGTCATATGATTATTAAAATCATTATAAGTACTCATTTTACTATGCTTCTCCAAATAATAAATTGTTACAAAGCAATCCATTAAAAAGTGTCATATGATTATTAAAATCATTATAAGTACTCATTTTATTATTGTAAAATTCAGTCGTTTGAGAACAACTTGAAGAACCTGAATCATTCCGGAATGAAATCAGCGATAAAAGCTTGGACACAGTGCCGATGAGCCAGCGCATAATTCGTAGGGTAATGAGTACTCACTCCCTGAAATAAACCTCCAAATATTTGCCGAAACGACTGCTGTTGTCGTTCCTCGGGGTCTTCGCGTTTCCAAAGCTCTCTAGTAATGGCGTCGCTTCGAGGATCTGCTCAGTGACCAGATTGTTCGGTGCCCGATTAACAGCGGCTAGATACTGCATCACGAGTTTCGTGGACTCCGTTTTCCCCGAGCCAGATTCGCCAGAAATAACGACCACCTGGTTCGCGCTAGCATTATTCGCAGCTGTTACTTGACTATAGGCCGACGATCCCACGGCGAACAGGTGACTACAATTAGATCGTAACATGCTCATTAGTTAATTGAAACTGTTCTACGTAGAATAAATCACGAGAGTATCGCGAACGTGTCAGCGGAACGTAATCATGATTTTGGAATCTGTGTTCTCCGATTTAGACGGATTGTATCGTGGTCGGCACTAAGGCAACGTTATTACAATGTTTTGTTACCGAATAATGATGGTATTGATGCATCGAATTGTTCATGACCATATTTCGCTTTCTCTATGAACGTATGAGAAATAATCAGGCAAAATCATTACGTCGTGTGATTTTAGAAGAATGCGATAGTCATGGTCGAGCAATATAGTAATGATATTTTTGCAGTTATGTTTTGTGTAATGTAAAAAGCATTTAATACAGTATGGAAGATTCTGAGATAATTTTAATACGATTTAATATTAAAAATAAAATGATTGACTAAAGTATTGTACGAGAAAGAATTGCTATTATTAGATTCTGAGATAATTTTAATACGATTTAATATTAAAAATAAAATGATTGACTAAAGTATTGTACGAGAAAGAATTGCTATTATTAGATTCTGAGATAATTTTAATACGATTTAATATTAAAAATAAAATGATTAAATAAAGTATTGTACGAGAAAGAATTGCTATTATTAGATTCTGAGATAATTTTAATACGATTTAATATTAAAAATAAAATGATTAAATAAAGTATTGTACGAGAAAGAATTGCTATTATTAGATTCTGAGATAATTTTAATACGATTTAATATTAAAAATAAAATGATTAAATAAAGTATTGTACGAGAAAGAATTGCTATTATTAGATTCTGAGATAATTTTAATACGATTTAATATTAAAAATAAAATGATTAAATAAAGTATTGTACGAGAAAGAATTGCTATTATTAGATTCTGAGATAATTTTAATACGATTTAATATTAAAAATAAAATGATTAAATAAAGTATTGTACGAGAAAGAATTGCTATTATTAGATTCTGAGATAATTTTAATACGATTTAATATTAAAAATAAAATGATTAAATAAAGTATTGTACGAGAAAGAATTGCTATTATTAGATTCTGAGATAATTTTAATACGATTTAATATTAAAAATAAAATGATTAAATAAAGTATTGTACGAGAAAGAATTGCTATTATTAGATTCTGAGATAATTTTAATACGATTTAATATTAAAAATAAAATGATTAAATAAAGTATTGTACGAGAAAGAATTGCTATTATTAGATTCTGAGATAATTTTAATACGATTTAATATTAAAAATAAAATGATTAAATAAAGTATTGTACGAGAAAGAATTGCTATTATTAGATTCTGAGATAATTTTAATACGATTTAATATTAAAAATAAAATGATTAAATAAAGTATTGTACGAGAAAGAATTGCTATTATTAGATTCTGAGATAATTTTAATACGATTTAATATTAAAAATAAAATGATTAAATAAAGTATTGTACGAGAAAGAATTGCTATTATTAGATTCTGAGATAATTTTAATACGATTTAATATTAAAAATAAAATGATTAAATAAAGTATTGTACGAGAAAGAATTGCTATTATTAGATTCTGAGATAATTTTAATACGATTTAATATTAAAAATAAAATGATTAAATAAAGTATTGTACGAGAAAGGATTGCTATTATTAGATTCTGAGATAATTTTAATACGATTTAATATTAAAAATAAAATGATTAAATAAAGTATTGTACGAGAAAGAATTGCTATTATTAATAGAGTAGATGTGTCAAGGTAAATTATACTGATTTCGAAATTGCGTGAAATGATACTTACGGTGGTAGTGTCCCAAGTATTCGTCCTTCGTAGAGTTTCACTTGGTCCAGACCGTAAATGTCAAACATTTTGTAGGGATTCACTGCCACCAAGATGCTACCCGTGTACGTCTGTCGTTAAAAACATTTATTAAATCATCATCAGCCAATTTCTATTAGTATAAATGGATATTCGATAAGCAAACGTACGTAGATTAACTCCTTGTCGTAACGAATTTTCAAGTTCCACAGCAAAGATGCTTCATTGAGATCGCTGAAATACGAATAACACGTTTTAATCCTGCAATTTTAATCAATGCAATTACGTATTTAACTTGTACTTACGTCAACTGAATCATGTCTTCGACCCCATTTTGGCCAAGATCCTGTCTCGGCTTCACCCCGCTCAAATTGGTGAGAGTGAAAATTTGCGGCTGAAATTATAATTGAAATCAATTAATATAGCGTTACGAATTTCTACACATTAACATTGGCGTTAATTGCATGTACTATTTATGAACTATCTATCTCCTTTCAAGAGTTATAAAATAATATCTTAAGACGTCAACTTGAGAGTCATGTTTTGAAAGTCTTTCATGAAAAAAGATTTGCTGAAATTTTTCAGCTTTCTGATCTATTTATAGAGAACTTGGCTAATAACTTGAGGATCTGAGATTGTTTCACAATGTAGCATGAAAGGATCAATGAGTCACGCAATTCTTCTTAAGATCAAGGTTCCAGCTTATTCATCTTGGACTCAATTCTTGACTTTATCGTAAAACCTTCGCAATCACAATTTCAGCTGATGGCAGAGAACCTAGACAATAACTCCACAATCAAAGATTGCTGGACAATGTAACACAGAGTCACTCATTCCTGCTTAAAATCAAGATCTCACCTTGTTCAACTTAGACTCAATTTCCTAATTCCTCGTCAAACTTCGAACAATCATGAATCCACCTACCGACGCAAAATCTGGACAACTATATGATCAAAAATGGCTGAACGATGCAGCATAAAAAGATCAAGAAGTCGCTCAGTTCTTGCTAAAATTCAGCTTCCAACCTTTTCATATATAATCCTCTACTCGCTGATAGAAACCAAACAATCATAAATCCGCCTAATGATAGAGAACCTGAGCAATTACTACCATGATCCGAGGTTGCTAAATGATGCAGCATAAAAAGATCAAGAAGTCACTCGTTTCTTGCTCGAATCCAGCTTCCAGCTTACACATCTTTAATCTCCTGCTTCGTCGCAAGCTCCTAACAGTCACGAATCCACCTAACAACGGAGAACCCGAGCAACAACTATGCGATCAAAAGTAGGAGAACGCCTAAAAAGTAGGATAGCCTGAAAATCCGCATAATCTGAACAAGTCGACTCGCACCGCATTACATTTTGGTCGATCACTCGCAGACAGAGGTACGCCAACGATTCCGGCGAGCTCTTCAACTTAGGCCTCACGTTCACCAGGGTCACATCCCTGGTCACCGTTCCCTTGAAGGTCCTCTGCCTCCTCGAGTACCCACCAGAATCATTCTGGTCATCCGTTATCGGTTGTACGGGGAAAATCTCGCGTGACGGCGACGAAATAATGGCCGATCGAGCCTCGTCACCGAGGAATTCCATCGAAAAGTTGTCTTCGACTTCGCGTCCGAAGCCCACGCTACCCAAGGTCTCCCTTAAATTCGCCGATTTCGTCGTTTTGCAATGCCGCACGACGATGCTTTGCCGCGGCGCGCACAGGCACACCTCTTCGTCCTTGTACCCGAAGACACTTTCCTCCGAGCGTAACCTTGACTCTTGAACAGGAACATCGTAACACGGCTCCGCCGGAGATTTCAGACGCTGGCTAGCCTCGGAAGAGCAGCCTACACCGGAGTCTTTCACCTGATCTTGACGGAAAACTGAATGGTAACTGTTACCGTTTACGCCGGATGCTGATGAATGGAAGCCGCTGAAGGACAGACCGGAGGGCGGCGATGATCCCAAACGAACTGTCGGCGCCGCGTAATGATAGTCCTCCCGACTCGCCGCCATTGATAGCTCGGCAGAGGTATACTATTCGCTCAGAATTTTTCTGTTTGGACACCTGAACGTGCCTAATTAACAGGCGCGGAAGCTGTCGTAGTTCTTTCTCCGGTAGCTATCAGCTCTTTTGAACGCTGTTTCCACAGTCTGCTTTGTAGATATGTCAAACTCTCGAGAAGTATTTGATGATTGGAGCTCAGCGAGCTTCCTGGTTCTGCTTCATTAGTCCGTATCTTTTTCCTGGTGTTGGAGGTTCTGGTTTTTCAAACATCGACGATTTGACTGTTGCTTGGCACACTATTTCCTGGCGCGAACCGTCCACAGTTTTCCTTTCGTAGACTCCTTTTCATTTGTCTTCTGCCTCGGATTATATTTGCAGTTAGATTGATCGAAATACGAGGCGCTGTTCCTCGGTTTTCACCGGACTGTCTTTTCACATATGGCGGCCTTAGGCTCGCGAGAAAACTGCGAGACACTTCTGCAACCAGTTTCAGTCCTGTCTGGGCTGGCAAGGACCGTGTTCCACGGGCCTTTCTCAAAATGGTCCTGTTTAGCCGAGGCATCCTACCGGAACTCTGTTAACAGCGTGTTCTTTTCCGGCCGGTTTTTGCCCGATTTCCACGAGGTTTGCGACTCGATCTCCTCGAACGCATAGAACGCGCGGTGAAAAAGGAAGATCCGCGCGAATTCACATAAGATACGAAAGCCACTCACGTGAGACTCAACCGGATACCGGACCGCCTGAGTTCGCAGTTGCGATTCCATTGGCGTCGCCTTTGCGTCGCGTTGCGTTAGTTTCGCGTTCGGAATGCGATCCGCCGAAGGGATATCAACCTCGCGCGGTAAACAGAAACTGATTCCGTTAGAGGTTTTTAATGGTCGCCCGAGCCGATCGCGGCACGATGGAAATTAATTAAGAACTTCCTTTCACTGCGACGCCGCGGCGAAAAATCGCGCGCGCGACTGTATCGAATAAATTACGAATTTCTGCGAGCCGTTCCGTACGCCATGGAATCTCGCGGGTACCGTGCAATCCGTTCCAGTCGGGGTTTTCTAGCAATTAATGCGGTATCGAATCGAAACTAAACTGTTCGGGAATTACGCTTAACGGCGTGTCCACGTTACTGTAACGGAATTGATATTTTATGAAAATAGTCCGGTGCCGCGGGAGTTAATGATCGTGCAACTTGTTCCTTCGTTACCCGATCGAATAATCTGCGCGAATAAAATCTCCAATTATCGGTTTACAGGTTTCTAATTGCCGCTTTATGCAACTCGCCGCCGGCTTTTTGGGACTGTTTACGGAGTATGGTGTACATACTCTCGGCGTGGCCAGGCGGAAAGAATTTCGGCGAACGGAACAGCTGCGATTTTGGAAAACGGGGCGCTCGCGTTAATCGAATGCGCGACAGTTGCGCAACACGCGTGTTGCAACGCGAGCAAATGTTTTTGATTTTCGAACGTTCGGGTTACGCGCAACACCGTGGATTTCGAGGAAATCTTCGCGAACGAAAGCGTTCGGTACGCGTTGCGCAACCACCGCGGTGGAAATTTTTTAATCCGACGCCCGTGCGAGACCGCTATCTATAAAGGGACACCGTCGAACTAGACTCCGCTACCAGCGCACAACAATGCATCCGAAGTCGAACATAATGCACTACTACAGGCGAGAATAATCGATGCCGATGCTGAGCTCACCGGCGACCATTTATGATTATTGTGCGGATAAAGGCTGAGCGAGAATTTATTCATGACTCGACACCTAATAGAAAATTATAGTTACGCGACACGTGTAGTTTGGATTTGATGTATGGACTGCAGATCTTTGTGCAGATTTAACTGAATTTGTTGCAAATAGGAGCTTCTTTCCTTCTCCTTCGAATAATTTTCACCTTCTATAGTCCGATATTTTTATATTATTCGATAAGAATATAATTTATAGTTTCAAATAATTCATGTAACTTGAAGCCGTTGAATCTGGGAATGCGATATTTAGATATAAATTAACAACGGATTTACAATTTTTGAGAAACGTGAATTTAATGCAACGTGTGAGGTTAAAATTAAAAATTGCAATGCATAACATGTTTTACTACGAAGGAGAAACGACGGAACGAAATACAGTAAATTCTACCTAATTTTGCTTCGACTTCTAAACAACAATGGACACAATTTGGAAAGAGGAGATTAATTTATTAGTCGAGTCACGCGGCTTATTTTTGTAATTGCTGATCGTCAACAATTATAAAAAGATTATTTTAAGTGTGTAAGGTTATGCATAATCATATCTTCTCTTCCCAAATTGTTAAGTTTTGTTTACAAGCTGAAGAAAAATTAAAGAGAATTTACTGTACCGTGTTACGGCTAAAAATGGAATGATGTTGGAAAACACTGATAAATAAGTGTGACTTCGAATTTACGATGAGCTATAAAGGGTTAACCAGGGTTAATGTCGTCGATATTTTATTTCATATCTCTCCTGTTTTAATTGACGCTTAATCAGTCTCGACATAAATGTAGAAAATTACGATATTTTCAAAGTCGTTGCAGACTTTCGCTTCACCGGAAGACAAGATTTGACAGAATTGATTGGATTTACAAAATATTGCCCTCGAACAGCTTGAATCCGTAATAAAATCTGGGACTATGAATAATTTTTATGAATATTCGTTAGTCGTTAGTCGTTAACAAGATTGTACGAACAGATCGTTAACATGTTATTTAATGAATCCTTCCATGTGTTGCGGACTTTTAATGTGTAGTTAATTATTACTGGCATTTAATGTTCATCCCGGAGTCGCCATTATCTCAATTTATTAGAAAACGGTTAGGTCAAAGCTAATTCGCCTCGCCGCAGCATCTTTACCCACGTTTCGCAGTAAGTATGCATCTTCAATTATACGATATAAGCGTAACATACCAGAACCACGCTAAGAACGTTTCTGTAACTACTTTCCTGTTTTAGACCCAACAAACCATTCGTATATTCTCTAATAGTCACAGTTACACGCCTGTGCATTCGTAAAAATAGCAACATCAACATATCGAGATAAATTTTTATTACAGAAAATGGAGTTATTTCTGCCAATGATTCTTCAATAAAATTCACCTAAACAATGGCTTTGGTTACTAGCAACCACACGAGGAGATTTCGAAGGAATGTTGTAAATACAATCGGAGGTAATTTAAAGATTCCTAACAAACGTGAATTGTATCAACAAGTGGAAAACATGTTACATCACGTTGTTATTTCGAACTTTTAACGTCGATTGCGATGTTTACAACTTTTTACGTCATTTGGACGTAAACATATTACATTTTGTTTTCGTCTATGGTTTTTTAATACCATAATTGCTATGGAGATCAATAAACGAAGTCAAGGCGACAAGTCCTTGTGCTTGCAAAATTATCCTCAATTTACATAATCCTAACTAGACTGCGAATAATTATGCAAATTGCTTCGTACGCGGTTTTAAGGATCAATTCATGCAAATGGGAATCGGATAGTAACTATTCTTACACTGTATCAATGAATGTTCTTCGTTCAGCTTCATAAATGCGTCGAGTTTGCATTGCTCGGTGACATTTGTTACGAGCCATAAAAATTCGTCTAATCGTCTGTGCCATCGTTTAGAAATTTAACTTTGATACAATCGTTCGCCGAGTGTTTCTCATTAACAATCACCTCATCTAAATGAATCGATACGATGTTGATTTATTCATCTATTTTGTTCCTTTTTGATAAGAAAATTTAATATATCTTATCCGATCTAACATTTTTATCTCGTATAAAAAAGTTGAAAAACGAGAGCTTCTGATTTTCTTTGTCATTTCAAATAATAGCAAAATTTAAAAGAGTATTTTATTTATTCATACGTTTTAATTATTGGACAGTAAACCAGTCGACCTACCATTTTCAAAAAATTCTATAAGCAATTTCAAAGTCTGAATTTCTCCTTTGCTCCATCATTTGCAATATATCGCAAATAAAATTTGCACAATACGGATTTTATGCGTTTATGGCAAAAATGGATACGAGAAATATAAAACAGGGAGCGGATTAAAAGAAACTAAGAACGTTGACGTATTGACATCAGCTTATTAACACCATTTAAGGAAGTAAAAACATTAGCACCGACGTTTTGCAATCGATGCAGACAATTTTTATTTTGAATAAAGATCCGCGGACCGGTGATAACCGTAACTCATTTGCGCAGCGATGTTCGAGCAGGGAAGAAGAGTAGCGTAATCGACGAAAGTGAAAGACGGGAACGCGAAAAACCCGGGGACACGATGTTGTTGCCAATATGATGTCCTTGGAGCTTGAAAGTGCAGGAAGGTGTTGCAAGTAGCCAGCGCGCTGCCCCTTTTCGATATGCACTTTCACGCCGGGAACCGACACATCGATCTGCTGGAGTAATTTTCCAAGGTACCCGCACTGGCGGAAGTATTTCGCGGTATTTCGCCAAGTATGCGCGGTATTCGACTTTCTATCTGGGACCAGACGCATTTGACTAGCCCGTTAGCTGGCCACACGATGGAAAACCTGTGTTTTGCTCCTCCTCGTCTAACGCGCTTGTATCTTGCGCGCGAGCGTTCGCGATACCGCGGACGTCTGCTCTTTCTTTTTCGTTCTTCTGCCGGTAACGGGTCTGCGAAGCTAACCAGAGATCCCATAAGCACGAACCTATTGCTGCTCGTTGCGTTTTACAATAACGCTCTGCCCGGCGGTTGATCAACGTGCTCGGAATTGTCGCGGAATTTATTGAACCATTGTGTGGGCGACACAATGAGTTCGAGTAATGGCGCGGAAGGAGAAGTGACAATCTTATTGCAACCGGCTCTCTCAGAAGTTTCGAACTGTCGAAAGATCTCGGAAGAACCTTGTCGCATTTCGGTCGACGTTCTCGCTAAAATATTTCTCCTTCCACCGTGTCGTAAAATTGAAAATATCGTCGAGCCTTGAGCGCTCGAAATCTGACGCGAGAGCTTTTATTAGTTTTATCGTATAAAATGAATTAGGTTGTGGAATAGTTTCGAATGTTGCCGGCTGGTGGATTCCGGCGTGGCATATGAAGATTAATTGCGACACTTCCTGACTGATGATCGCATCGATGGAGAATGAGCTGTTAGCGAAGGCTGTTATACAGTGTTTTCACTCGCGGTGCAGTATAGTGTCTAATAACAATTTAATGATCGACGTTAAACCTGAATCGGGCTTTCAAAGTGTGCTCTAAAACTGCGACAACTCGATTAACATGGCCGATGAATAATCACCGTCGAAGAGTCTCACGAAATCTAACTAATGATTATTAGGACAAATATAACTATAAAGGCGCCATTAGTTTTCTTCGCAGTTAATACGTTCGGTGCCGCGTGAGTCGCGTATGGGAGACGCTGATTTTTAACTAGGTTTTTGAAATTCATTTTTATTGTAATGTATTGAACAAATTGAATGTTGCTGGGATTTGTAGAATACAAAAGCGCCGAACCAATATTACCTATGTTAAATTTTCACTTTCTAGTTTCGGTGTAATTAATTAAATGACTTTGATATTGTGTAAATTTTTCGAGTTAATATTCGGCACTTAATGCGGTTAAACGGGGAACAGTCGAAATACGACGAAATTATTTTATCTGTTCTATTATCTGAACTTCGTATTATCAATATTGGCATAATTGCACGCATATTTCATATCAATTTGTTCAAACATAATTTTGAAGATACTTCACGTAGACTTCCTAGTCTTTTTGTTGTTCCCAGTCATTTATTTAATCGAATTGCCGAAAATTGACTAATTAGGTGATCATTTAAATGCATAATATGCCATTGTACTTTGTTCGATCTTGTTTTTCCTCATCAAGTGATAAACAGATCATCCCTGATATTCTACTTATATTCTTATTTTACACGATTTCGATTCAACACAGTCTAAGAAAACACATTCAATTCCCTTTCTATGCGATTTCGTTCGATTTAGCACGGTTAAAAAAGTTATTCGATCTAAATTTTGAGGACAATTATTTCCATCAACCGTGGTTCTTCAACCCTATTTTTCTATGCATGTTTCTATGTTTCTTACACGGTTTTTTCTGGAACATATCTGCCGTGTAAAAAGAGAATCCGGATAATAATAAGATTAGCTCCGATAATGTGCCGCAATAAACCGCGTGCATCAAAGCAACACCCAACATTTTACCATTCCCACTATCTCGTACGACAGTTGATAAGCATACCTTCTCTGCTTCTTGCTAACGGTTACGTGCTTGCTCGGCAAAGAGAAATCATTCTCGACTAATCCGCAAAGCGGTAGAAACAATTCCGTATCTAAAGCTGCATTTACAGAAACATTACAGCAATCAGACATTCAGAATTGCTACCGGGACATTCAGAATTGCTCGCCGGGACGTTCGAATTGCTACCGAGAGACAATCGAACGATCTACATAAGAGGTCGTCGACCTACAAAGTATCGCCGAGAAAAAAAAATCGCGCAACTCCCGTATCACGTTTTCCAGGCATTCGCGCCGCGACCCAGATCGCCGCCGTAAACAACCATTCTTTCCCCATTGTGTCCGTGCCAAATTGTTCCAACAAAAAATCAATAGAACATAGTTAGAACCGTCGGCCGACCGCCCGGAGCGAGCGTCGTCGTCTTAAGGAAATGCAGAATAACCGGTTGTTCCTTGGCCTCGAAGTGGACCCCGGTATTGTTGACTAGCACATAGTCTAGCACACTTTTATCCAGTTCCTCTCCTATCCCTTCGCGATAATAACACACGACGCAGTTTCATTGTTGGCCTGTCTATGGGGAGAACGGTAAATGTCCGATTCCTATTCAGTCTGGAAAGAAACGAGCCAGGGCTCGTCGTCGCAGTTTTCTGGTCCTTTTTTTTATTACGGCCGCTCGGATCGGACACTTGCATATTTCGCCGGGGCTTAACAAGAACTATCTTTTCTAGCCGGTTTCACGCGGGTATGGTCGTTTCTAAAATTTTAGTAGCAGTTTATAGCGTTTCTCTATTGCTGCTTTTCGGTTTTAGTTTCGATCGAAGATACCTGGCTTGGATTCTCTGTCATGTTTCTCTGGGACTTAACGAGAACTATCTCTTCCAGCTGGTTTCACGCGAAAACAGTCGCTTCTAAACTTTGTATAGCGTTCTATAGGTGTTTCTTATGCTGATCTCTGTCCTTCTTTTTTTGACTGAAGACTTGGATTTTCGGGAATGATTCGATAGAACTCGATAAGTTACTACGATAAGACTACTGCATTCGGTGTCGCTCGAAAGGATTGATGTCGAAAACGCAGGTTTCTGTTCGACAAGGAAAGACAGATACACCCGTAGACATGCCATCGGGAGCTTGCGCAATTTATCCGACCGATCGTTTGAATCTCTCGTAAGATTTATACACGTACGTGTGTGTGTGTGTGTGTACACACGCTCCCGTGTCCCCTTTCCACTCGTCAACGAGCTCGCGGAATGTTCATTCACATTGCATAATTTTTATCGATCACAGATGCAGATATTATCCGTACCTTGCCGGCGATCACCGCTTGCACGGAGAGCACGTTGGCGGCTCTGTGGTACTCCAAAACCTCGCCTGGCAGCACGTGGCCGACACCGGGGTCGAACCACACCAACTCTCCCTGGAAAACACAATTAAATTGTAATACGATCTTTCTTATTAAGATCGACAGGGTAATCGAAAATAAGCGCGCGAAAAATTCGAAACTGCTGCTCAGCCATCTTCGTTTTACACCTTCGCCTACTGTGACTCTGTGCAACATTCAATTCGCATATTTATTTATCATGATTTTTAACCAAATTTCAGTCTTAACAACAATATCGCAACAACATGTTGTTCTGGTGTTTCTACTCCGTAATCGAAGAGGTTTATGCGTCATGATTTTCAATTTTTACTTCACGCATCAGAGACAATTCGATCTCTTTAAATATCGTTATCAAATTGTTATAAATTAGTTCAATATTTGTTATCAATTTGTATAGAAATATTGATATTTCATTTATAATGATTCAAAGTAACATCGATCTTTTTATACTCGTATACAAGATTTGATCTATAGAGGGTTACACGTTGATGCATGATATATCCAGATTGAAAGAACGCTTAAAAAATCTTTACAATTTTTTGTCTAAAACACTGGAATTCTCTGGCAGACGAGTGTAAAAATATATAAATTATAACACTATTATAGACATTTTTATATACATTTTTCAGAAAGATTCGGAGCAAAATATTAATTAGTGATTTGAAAATCAGTCATTCTTTCACAGTCGTACAATGCTTGTAGACACACCGTGTATTTCCAAGTAAAGTCTTTTCTGTGTTTGCTGCAAATAGTTTAAGAGAAACTAGATCTATGACCAAGGCTGGAGCCAGCTCCTTTAAAGAGTTATTGCTTTTAAGTGTCTGGTCTGTTAACGACATCGATTTATATAGCAATGTGACACAAAAATTTATGAGTTCCTGGAAAATGAACTTATCCCACGTTTTCTAATATCTTATTTCTCGAACATCTCTCTGTGTATAAATAAATTTGCTTCCGCTCTTTTGCTCAATACATCGAATCAAACGCCAAGTTACGCGATCCCAGAGTATCTTTCTAGAAAGTTCAATAAAATTCGCCGTATACTGTCCTTCCAACGTATGCAAAGCTATAACACGTTCGGCAAAGAAAGTAATCGTCAATAAATTCGCTCCTCCTCTCACATTTTTTTACAACGTTTACATCGTTTCTATCATTGCAAAATTACCCGTCTTTCATCCTCGAGCATTCATCGATACTCTACGAATCCTCTAAAAAAAATGCCTTCACAGCATCGAGTAATACAGATATAGACTACGAAAACAGAAAGAAGCATGAAATTTTGTCTGAAAAGAGCATGCTAACCGTTCTCACATTCCAAGTCGGATAGGACGCTGCACTTTCGTCCTTTCTCGCACTGGCACTCGGCGACTGAACTTTCCTCTTGCCGGTGCAGAATCCGAAAATCGATGATGTCGTTACGGGCGAGTTCGAGCGGGCGCTGTTCGCGTCGTTGAAAGCTTTCACGTGGCTGGCCGCGGACTTCTTCACGTAGTTCGATCTCTCCTTGCTCTGTTTCGACGAGATACCAGTTTCTTTGGACAGCTTCCTATGACACTCGGTCCCTGGCGGCCTCTCGTTCGAACACTTTCTCGAGCTTTTCACATAACTGGGAAGAGTCGTGGCCAGCCTGTTGGCTGCGCAAGCCTCCCGTTGATTTACGCGGTAGTTATCTATCAGCCTGCTCTGGGACTTGGACCTGTACTTGGTCGCCTCCCTGGACTTGGTCCAATTGCCATCGGATCGGTATTCCATACTGTTCGAGCCGTTTCCACGCGATAACGCACTAGGTTCCTTCAATCGGTCACTGTCCACTTCACACAGGTTCCTGTTCTCGTGAGCATCGAAGTCCTTGCCCTGATAGGACTGACTCTCCGAGCGATAATCCGCGGAGTCCTCGGTCCTGGAGCTGTTCTGCTCCTCGTACGCGTTCTCGCCCTTCATGTTGTCGATGATCCTCCTGCGCGACATGGTCCTGTGGCCGGAGTCTACGCGAACCTCGTGCCTACCGTCACCACCATCTTTCGGATCAGCTTTGTTATCATATCTCTGAAGACTCTTCGACGTTTTCCGAGACACTTTGGCGTAAAGGGCATTCCGCTGGGGGCTTCCTCTCATGTCAACGAGAGGCAACGTGGCCGATTGGTACGGCGCGTCCGGGACAGGGTCCCGAAGGTGTCTGGTGGTCGTCCTGAACTCGACGTCCACGGCTCTCTCTCTGACGAGCGTGTTCCCTGGTCTGGAGTATCTGGTCAGCGTGTTCAGGGACGACTGGGAGCTGCGAGGTGTCCCGGTGTTCGTGGGCAAGGACGTCTTCCTCCTGCGTATCCTCCCGTAAACGGGCGGCTCCTTCCTGACAGCGTCCTTGGCCAGCCTAGGGCTGGCCCAGTCCTCCGCGAAGCGCGATTCTCTCGACGCGTGGAGTATCTTGGGCAAGGTCGACGGTCTGGGCACAAGGCCGCTGGTGACGTCCTGCAGCTTGCTGGCGACTGCCAGGAAATCACAGACTGACCTGGACTCTCTCTCGTCCTCTCTGCCCCACCTACCGATCCTCGGTCGCGGGACGCTCCTCGAGAAACTGGAAGAGGTGCCACCTTTCGCCTCTGAACTTTCTAGCGTCTCCTCCACGCGACTCCTACCACGAGAACCGCCGACTGGCGCGTCCACGCTGGCTCTTCTGCGCAGAATGTCTTGTCGCGAGATCTTGCGGAATCCCTGAGGAGCCTGGGCCACCCTACCCGGCTCCCTCTGCGATCTCTTCGCTATCGAGGGCAGGGTCTTGGGCCTCTCCTGATCCTTGTCAACGTCCGCGGTCCGCCGCCATCGGTGACGCAACGCTTCCGAAAACCTCGCGCCGCCATCCTTCTCGTCCTTGCTGTACCTTCTCAGGATGTCTTTCCGCGACACCGCCAAGTCTCTCGGAACGGTGTGGAACACCTCCTGATTGGCCGATCTCTCGGCCCTCGGACCAACGTCCAGCCCGGCACCTGGGTCCAGGTTCCTCGCGCGGCCGGAAGCCTGGTGCCTCCTCGCGCGTTCCGCCGATCCGCTGGAATTTGGAGCGGAATTTGTATCTGGGTCTGGGCCGGCGGAATTATGCAACGCGCGTCGAACGGATAACGGTTCCGCGCCGGCGTAGAAAGCTTCCGAGCGCGTGTTTCGTGACGAAAACCGATTCTTCGAGGTCGACGATCGCGTAGACCGGCGCTCGGGCTTCTTGCCGCACGCCGCCGTCGCGGCCTCCATGTTGCTCGCGGCCGGTCAACGCTCGATTTCCATCGGCATCCTCGCGGACTTCACCAATCCGCGGGGCCCCCGTTCGATTGGACACCCGTTCAATTCTCGATTTTCATCGCCACCGTTTCCTCCTCCTCCCCGTTCGACCGGCCGGGCTCTGAAAATCTCGGAAAACGAGAGTCGAGCGCGACCAGAAGAAGCGTTTTTGAGCCGACCACTTTCCGTCACCGAAACCGGTAGCAATTAGCGAACCGTTCGAACCCGTCGGACACGCCGTTCGTAGTCATGTTTAGACGGCCCGCGAGCCGCGGCGTACTGCTGAAGACACTTTTAAAAGGCTGCACTAACGGGAACGTCAATTAAATCACGAACAGAGCACGGAGCACGTAATTCAGCCAACCAGTCGGCGTTTCCAGCGTATGCCGGTCTCGTTTAACACCAATTAACACCGGGTACCAGGAATCCGCGTGAACCTGACATTGTTATCAGCCCGAACGGTACGGGTTTGCCCGGGTACCAGTTTCTTGACCAGATGCTATCGGAGGCCGGCTTCGTCCACCGCGGCGTTAATACGATCCGGTGTGGGACACCATCGGCGCTAATTTTTACCGCATAATTAGCCCGCGGGCCGAAGCGGTCGCGCGCATTATTTACCGCCGCCGGAGTTTCTCTTCGACGGCCGCCGATTTTTCCCGTGTATCGAGCCGGCGAACGCTTCTTTATCCATCGTCGCGGTGATGCTGCGGGGTTCAAGGTGAACGCAGAGGATGCCCCTTCCGCTTGCTATTCTTTCTATTTGCAGAGAGTCTCGGCAAATACGGAGCTCAGCGTCCGGGGATGGGGAAAAGGTGTCTCCTAGTCAAATCCAGGTGTCAGTGACCCGTACTTTCATTCCACATCGGCTGCGTCACGCCGATCATTTCGTCGTGCAGAAACGTTCCTCCGGCTATCGTGTCCCAATCACCGACTAATTAGCGTCCGCAGAGCGATATCGTCGCCGGGGATCGTTCGACGGAGGTGTTCTCCGATCGGCCAGCGATTATCTCGATCGTCGCGGTCGCTCGGGAGAGCTGCGGCCGCTTTAGAAGCCGATCACGATCGGTCAAGATTCGAGACAATCGGGCCTGCGCGGCGTGCTCGCGCATTTTAAACCAGCTTTAAAGAAGTTAGGAGGTCGCCGAGACGGTCTACTATCCAGCGCATTGGGTCACCAGTCTCGAAAAATTCGTGCTGCCCGCGTTGAATTCGTTAACGGTCTCCGGAACGCGACGTTTCGGGAATGCGAGCGTGCGCTCCACGGGTGTTGACGCGCGTTTCTTTGTCCGGACACGGCGGATTCGACTAACGCGGAGTTCGTCCCGCGGCGTTGTGAATAGTCACGGGTAGCCTGACGTCCTCATGTTCAGCACCTACGACACTCCTCCGTTTGCTCCACGCCGCTGCGTCTCTCGCTGTCCTTCGACTCGTTTCACAAGCAAGCCAGCCAGCCAGCTTCACACACCGCCTGGCACCTCGAAGAATCGAATCCGCTTCGCGCGGATCCCTCGAAAAGCCGGGGATCTCGGGCTTCCACCTCGCGCGCTACTTCGCGTTCGCGAAAACCGATCAGCGAAACGGGGTCAGCCGGAAACAGCAGCCGCGACCAGGACTTCGGGGCTCGAAGGGACACGCGTCGGCGATGCGTGCGACGAGCAATCGAGTCGACTCCTGGGATCAGTGATCCAGGCAAATGGCGGCGGCCAGGAGGAACCGGGTACCGCGATCCGGACGCGAGGATGCTCGATGCAACACTGGAAGTTATACGCCTCTTCTCCGCAACAATTGCTGCGTGTGCACAGTGGCGTACAGGTTTTTTAATTAAGCCGGCTCCCGACTAATTGCGCCGATGCCGGATCGAGCCTCCGTCCCGGAACCGGCCCTTCAGGGCCCCCGCGGTACTTCCGGGTCCGTTCCGACCCGTTGCTTAATAGGCTAATGATATCGCCGATGGGGGGAGGGGAAAACTGCTCGCTTTCCCGGCGGAAAAGCCGCCGCCGAAGAGGTGCTGGCGCCAGTGGATCGAAGTGCTTTGGGGTGGAACCAAGCGTGCCTCTCTTCTTATATAAATTACGCGCTAAATACGAGTAGGTACGCCTACGTGGAGCTAGGCTGGATATAGGCTGCGGCCGCGGCGAACGGGAAGCGATTCTCTAACTAGCCACCGTGGCGAGTTGCAGAAACGGCCGCGGCTGTCGATGGTAAAAACCGATTGTGTTCAAGGAACCGTTCGAGCACAAGCTCATACGAGCCCAAAGCGGAGAAGATTTATATTGGGCAACGGTTTCGCTGCCGCGGCCGTTGCATTAGATTACGGTTCGATTGCTTTTTTTACGTTTCTTTTTCCGAAATTTTTCGAAGACGCGCGCAACGTTATCTCGATGGATGCTATCGCGCCGATTTTCTGTCGGCTTCCGTAATTTTGTGCGCGATGCGCTCGCTGTTGCTCTGTACGCTGACACTTGTCTTGCTGGATTAGGTTCCGCGGGGTAGGTGCCATCGTGCAGCCGCAAATGAACCTGTTACACGAACCGACTCCGCTTGATATACACTTCTCGATGTAGTAAATTCCATCTAATTGGCGCTCGGACTGTACACAAAAATGGATAGTTTGGGAAGAGGAGATACGATTATTCGAGCCCTGCAACACGTTTTTATAGCTACCGATTGTCAAGAACTTATAAAAACGAGCCGTAAATTGTCCATTTTTGTGCACAATTTGAGCGTAAATTTGGAAGAATTTACTGTACTTTGTATTCAAAATCTTTCGCAATGTCGGTCTTAACGCCACGAAATAACGAAAAGGTTTTTCACTGTTGAATAGCTATTTATTATTATGCTTGTACATTAGAGAATTTACTGTTTCACGTGTATATTAAACAATTGATCGTTATATCTGTAGATCAAGCAACTCATCATTATATCTATGTATTGAGCAATTTTTTTATTATATCTGTAGATCAGACAATTTACTATTATCCTAGACTGTATATTAGACAATCTTTAACTACACCTGTATATTAAACAGACAGTCGAATACGTAACTTGCAGTTTGACTGACAAGTTTGTTAATTCGTAGAATTAAATTTTCATGAACGAACTTTGGATCCTTGTGTAGAATACTTTCACATTTTTCGTTGCACGGAATACACCAAAAAGTAACAAAAAAAAACTGGAGAAACTGCTTTAAATAGATCAGTTTTAGAAAAATAATGCTGCAGTGGTAGAAACACAAGAACATTGCGTCCAATTTAATATGTATTCGTAATGAAACGCCTACTATAAGGAAATTAGAAAGGAAGCTTCCGTTAAAATCTAATTATGCTGATGGAACACATTTGCGCTACGAGTCTACTATCTATTTAGATCGTAGACAAGAAGCAGCAGATATTTTAAAACAAAAGTGGAGAGTGTCGTTTCCCGTTGGATAAACAGTAAAGCATTGATAAATATTGATGAAGAAAATCCAATTAACTGTATTATCCAGTTTGCGAAGTGGCTATACAAAATTAACGATCCGAAAAAATGCTATTGAATTTAAATTTCCTCTTTTATCGTTAACATTTCTACATTTCTGATCTCATGGAATTACAAATGTTACAGCCTGCCAAGTAATTATTATGCATTTCGAATATAATTCTAATAAAACTATTATCGCTTCATCATTTTCATTGCAAGAATCTAGGTTTCGGTTCCAAGGACTTCCCATGAGTATGACGCGTACGCTTAATCGATTTCTAATTGAAATCGAGTAAAATGAAATAAAAATCAAACGAAGGTCTGTCGAGCCAAACCTTGAAGAATACAGAAAAGAAAAACGTGCATCAAAGAAACATATTCGACTTTTATCGAGTCGGAACTGCTCGGCGACCACTTTTCCGACGTTCGGGCAGATTTACCCGCGTTCTCACTTTTACTGGCTCAGTATTACACGGGCCCAATCAAGAGTAATGAGCCCGCGAATAATGGAGGAAGACATCGTCGTCGTGCAGCGTAACCGACATTATAGAAGATTGGAGTAATGTAACGCACGTCGCTTCGGCTTCGTTAACTAATGTGCCACAGTTCCTTTTGCGATCATTGAAAACAGTACGGACTATCGAACTGCATGTCAAAATATCTTGTAATTAGAGGCAACGAATCTCGTCTCGATAGTTCAGAACACAGGTCTTTCGTTTTTAAACACAACGAACACGCGTTGAACTTGCCAACACCTTTTCCATATTTCCGAGCGAGACCATTGTGTTCAATTACAAGTTCACACGAGCGAGTATGCCACACGCGATTGTTCATGAAATACTTAACCTCTATTTGTGCTGCAGCAAAATGTTTTGTCAGTAAATTAAAGGAATGACGCATTTGTGTTATTCCTAGACCACGGATTTGTATGCGAAATAAAAAAATTGTCTCTGTCATTTGCAGAACACAGCAGACGCATCGGCAATCATTTTGTTTGCGAACAATATTACCAAAATAAAAATAACGAAGCAGTGTTTTTAAATTCTTTAAACGTTTTTATTATTTTATATTCGACTTGCTCAATTCTGTCATAAGTGTACAATATCCGTGGTACAATTGTTTCTCTTTGCTGATTGCGTTTTGCTTTTCTTAGAAAACGACAAGAAAAGCGATAAAGATTATTTCGAATATTCATTAGGTCGAGTAGTGACACTATTCATGTTGCTATGAAAATCTGCATTAAGTCAGCAGCATTTCAATGTTGAGGAAATATAAAACATTGTAAAAATAAGAAATAGAACATTTAATCACACAGCATGCAGTCAC